GAAAGGTGCAAACGCATAGAAAAATCTGCGTTTTCAAAAATACCCGGGTACGTGTGGACGTACAAGCCGAATGTAAACCCAGTGAAAAAACAGTCAGAAGATATGTTGAGGGACAAAAGGTCAGTGTCCCCCACCTGTAAAACCATTCATTCGTGTTTTGTTGCTCCTCTAAAGCACCTGATGATAATTCTGTTAACACCAAAGCAGCTGAAAATGACTAACAATCCCCTTTGCTACTTAACTGACCAGATCAATATCCTACTCTGATTAAAAAAGTTTTCCTTTATTTTATTTTTATTTGGTTTTATTTTAGTGTATATGACAGAAAATAAGGAAAGTCATACTCACAATAGAAATGTATAATAGGGCCTTAATTAATTAATCAATTACAGTAGTTGTGGGCTCTACAATGCACTGTATTGGGAAGCAGCAACAAAAGTTACAGTTAGACATTGTTCGCAGTACTGCATATTTTAGGATTGGATGGAAAAATCTGTCATAAAAAGGGGCAAAAGGATTGTTTCACTATTACGTGAGTGCTCTTGGGCTGGTTGTAGTTATGTTGTAGGTATAGTATAATTATGTTGGATGTGTGTTGCAGTTTCATGTGTTGTGTTACAGGATGGGACGTTGCTGGCTATTGGTCCTTTGGATCGGGAGAGCAGGGAAACACATGACCTGACTGTGAAGGCTTTAGACAAAGGCAACCCTCCACGAGAGGTAACTACAGAAAATGCTTACAGACCCTGAAACAGCCAAAAAAGTTATTGTATTTTACAAAATGAGGTCTACTTTTGGTCCAGTTGAGTATTTTCACATCAGAAAGGCACTCTTAAACTGTAATGAATCATATCTCATCTTGCTTTGTGAAAGTGCTCTTTGTTAAATTGAACTTTGGACTTTGAACACCAGAACTTCACCTCGATCAGAGTGAGCCTCGCTGACCTGAACGACAACAGCCCCGTTTTCAGTTCCAGCGACTACGTCAGCACCATCCTGCTGAAAGATGCAGAGGAAGGAAAGCTTCTGCTCACGCTGTCTGCTACTGACAGAGACACCGGGAACAATTCTCTCGTCACCTACAGGTCAGTTCAGATGGACAGGACGCTTTTGGAATGTGCAAAATCATTTCACCTTCTTTATGTAACAAATTGAAAGTTGGCAGGCTTTGGGAAATTTCAGGGACATGATAATACATTACAAACTATAAATACTACGAGTGTTATTCTTTTTTGGGCTGTTTTTAAACAAACTCCTATGATTCTGACTTTTCAGTTTGATTCTGGTTTCCTTATATCATTCTACTTCTCAACAAAAACGACTCTACAATATTAGAGAAAAAACACTCAAACAATCAGGCAATCCCTGATAAGCAAGCACCTGGTTATGGTGTAAAGAACACATTCAAGGAGGTGCAACCATCTGCTACATAGGAAGACAAGGACAAAAAAACATACTGTGGGAGAGAGGAGTTAAAAGTTAATGACATGAGGTAGAAGCATGTAAATGCATCGTGAGTGAAAAGAGGAGAGAAGGAATGCTCAGTGCATCATGGAAAAGTCTCCCAACATTAAAGCAACTCTGCAATGGGAGAGTTCAGGGTCACCTGATCCAGCTCTAAGTATAGGTTTAATTGTCTGTGTAGTAAAGACCTGGTACCACCAAAGTGAATGCTGTTGCATTTTATTGAACAGGGTTTTGACGCAATTTCTCGCAGCTTCTGCTTTCCAACATTCACATTGCAATGCAGTGAATGCATCATCACGCCAGGGCATGTTTCAAAATGGTGCTCTATGTGAGTGGAAAGACATCTCCAAAACGTTGTTGCAATGCAGCAACATCTGCTCTCTGAGCCTGTGTGAGATGGTTGTCACAATGGAGTGAGGATGGAATAGTTACATTTGGCACTTCTGGCCCCAACTTATTTCTTTCCTTGAATAGGTTCAGCAGAGATGGATTCAGCCTGTCTTTATGCTTTCAGGAGGCTCAGATGATATGATTTGTGTGGCTTGCTTGATTTGGTCACAAATCTGACGCAGGGCGAAGAGCAATTTATCTCCCAGTGAAAATTGTCTGAGTTGTAAATGTTGTAAAGTCACTGCTGACATTCCTGGGGCTGGAACAAATTCTCCCATGACAACCTGCGCAACACTGGCGCACATCCCCTCAGATGTCCAGCTACTAAAATTGGGCAATGATTTACTCCAGATTTTGATCATAACTCTGGAGTAAATGGAAAATAGCCTGGAAAATAAATTCCCACCTGCTTTTAGGCACCAACAACTAGGCGTGCTCTTCCTGTGTATGAGCCTCATGACTCACTCAATATAAACGGTCACTCATTACAAAATACAGAAATTTCAGTGCTACATCAACTTTTATCACTTGGTGAAAGGCTGAGCTCAGACTGTCATCACTGCTCTTGTGGGAAATCTTTCGTGGAGCAAATCACCGGAGCCAGTGGGCTCTCACGTGAAGGCCCCACCATTTCTTCTTCCCCAGAGTTGGTGTCTGATGACTTCGTGTCACCACTGAGCACAGCACAGGCATGCATACTTCTGTATGTTTCTCCTGGGCTGGGTGAGGGTGTCAGAAGGCTGGTGGTGCACATCATCTGCGCAGCTTCCATGAGTGGACATTCTTGGCAAATGTTTCCCGGCCACCCACACGTCCAGCACTCCTGCCCTAACTGTCATGCCGCCCCGGGTGGGCAGGGCACAGCATCCATAGCCACAGCAAAACATCTGTGTGCAACCAAAGTGCACAGTTGAATTTAAGTAGATCCAACATGTTCTTTTTTTCAGCTGAGGGAAGCATCTATTTGTGTCATCGTGTACGTGAATATTTTTTTTGTTTGTTTGTATTTAATTTTTTTATCTATTAAAATGCATGGATTAAACATATTTCAAGATAGTTTAGTGTTGTTGTATGTTGTTGTAGTAGGAGTATTTATTAAGGTTCCTTAAATGTATTTTTTTCATTTTTGCTGTTTTAGTTTCTCTGGAGAAGGTTCTCCATACTTGGACCTAAACACCCAGACTGGGAATGTGACTTTGACCTCGAAATTTGCTGATTTAACAGAAGATACCGCACTGGTGCTGACAGCTGTGGCCACAGACCACGGCCAGCCCCCTTTGAGCACCACAGGTCAGTCTAATCGCTCTTGGCATCATCGGTTATTTGAGCTTTATTTTTTGATTTAACTGTAAACCTTAAAATCATAGTATGCATGCATTTTAACCTTCCCAAGTTTAGAAATAAATGCATTCCTGCTTTGTATTGGGAACAGATTGATAGGAAAGGAAAGAGGTAAAACTGCA